TGAGACGGTCCAATGAAGTGCCTGTGCACTGTACCACTGTCTGACACTACACCACTGGCCGAGACTATACAGTATACGCACGGCGGCCGTGTGGATAAGATTCAATATGGCTATACGCACGCGGCCGTATGGCGACTCAATATGGCTAGGAATGAGGAAGGGGAGAAGGGAGAAGCTGGTGGAGAAGGAGGAGGGGAGAAGCTGGTGGAGAAGGAGGAAGGGGAGAAGGTGGTGGAGAAGGAGGAAGGGAGAAGCTGGTGGAAAAGGAGGAAGGGAGAAGGAAGAAGGTGTGGAGAAGGAGAGAGGAGAGCTGGTGGAGAAAGGAGGAGGGGAGAAGGGAGGTGTTGGAGAAGGAGGAGTGGGAGAAGCTGGTGAGAAGGAGGAGGGGAGAAGAGAGTGGTGGAGAAGGAAGGGAGAAGCTGGTGGAGAAGGGAGGAAGGAGGAAGGGAGAAGGTGTTGAGAAGGAGGAGGGGGGAGAACTGGTGAGAAGGAGGAGGGGGAGAAGCTGGTGGAGGAGGAAGGGGAGAAGGAGGGGGAGAAGGGAGCTGGTGGAGAAGGAGGAAGGGGAGAAGCTGGTGGAGAAGGAGGAAGCTACGACCAGCTTCTCCCCCTCCTCCTCCACCAGCTCCCTTCTCCCCTTCCTTATCCCCTTCTCCCTTCTCCCCCTCCTCCTCCACCAGCTCCCTTCTCCCCCTCCTCATCCCTTCTCCCCCTCCTCCTCCACCAGCTCCCTTCTCCCCTTCTCCCTTCTCCCCCTCCTCCACCAGCTCCCTTCTCGCCCTCCTTCTCCTCTTCCTCCTTCTCACCAGCTTCTCCCCTCCTTCTTCTCCACCCAGCTTCTCCCCCTCCTCCACCACCTTCTCCCTTCTAAACTCCTCCTTCTCCACCAGCTTCTCCCATCCTCCTTCTCCACACCGAATCTTATCCACACGGCCGCCGTGCGTATAGTCACTTCCCTACACCACTAGCTGGCACTGCACTGTGTACATACTACATAGTAACATCCGATTATGAATCATTGTTAGATTTTTGTACACTTGAATGAGAGATTTGATACAGCTCTTGCATAAAAATATTATCTATTACTTATATATTATAATTCATATATATATTAACCATGGTTATCCTATTATTTCTATGTATCAAACAGACGCGGAGCGGGTTTGCTTCCTAAATGGCGGACGTGGCGCTCCATTGCGTACTACACGTCATTGCACGTGATTTCGCATGAGTGGTTTATCTTGTTCACGACTCTCAAACTCCACGACAGATGGCGCTCTCGCTCATAGGCTCATAGGCTCCACTGATCTCTTATAATATAATCTGGATAGAGCCATTGGCCTATGACAGTGACGCCAGAGCGCCATCTTCCAACCACTTTGTAAAGCTGAATCTGCCGGTCTGTGCCCCACAACATTTCAAATGAATAATAAGAAACCGACTTATTCTATTATCAATTAAGCATGAAAAAACTTTGATCCTATACTTAAGAGATTATATAATATGGATATGTATATAGATACATGTATGGAGCTATAAGGGAACGAGAAATACACGAAAAAAATTTTTTACGTGACGTCACGAGTCACGTGCTAGCTAGTTGGAGGCCTATTCTAACATTATATTAATTCTTTATTACCCTATCGTATGAAGAAGGGATCGGATCTAGGCTGCGAACGTCTGCTAGCAATAATTATAAGCAACTCTAGCGTCTCGAGAAAAACATTTTAGATTTATTTGTTAGAGAATGCCATCCTGTGCAGCCATAAACTGCACTAACCAGCAGGTTTAAGGATGTGGAAGGACATTTCATTTGTAAGTTAGCATTAAAATGGGCAAATTTATGATAAAAACAGCATTATTATACGTAAGTCGTAACCTATGATCAACTTGTTTTGTGGACGATCGTGCCAGCGAAGCGTATTGACTACAGCAGATTGTATAATCTAACTACAGCTAGTAGGCCTATTTGTAGTTGAATGAACGCTATGTCTATGCATTTTATTGTTTAATAGTTTGGAACAATAATTCAGAAATTACCCTTTCTGATTTTATAACCGATGATAACGTTAGCGCAGTAGGCCTACAGTCTGTAATTTTGTTATGTTTTGTGTGGTGAACCAGCCTGTGTTCCCCGTGTCACTCGCGGACATAGCCCCTGTGCCGTGCTGGGTATGTTGTGTGTGTTAGCAAAGGGCTGTAGCAAAGGCAGATCGCTATGTACTTGTACTAAGCCCGACAAAGCTGTGCGACCGATTGTCTATCTTCTAAACCTAGCAAGACCGTTTCTTGGCGTAGGTACTTGTAAAAAGTTGTATTGTTGTCATGATGTAAAAATTTAATGTAGCTAAACCAAATTAGCTACCCCACATTGAAATTTTGCGTGTGTGGCGTGTGATACTCACTGTACGACTGGCTCTCCCGTCGTCGACCTCCACCGGACGGCGGTAGATGGCTGAGGGTCAACCCAGGCTACTGATGATTCGTTCCGCAGACCCACAGGAGCATTCCCAATATCTCGGGGCGTTTAGCAACATGCTACGCCACTCAAGTTCCTAGTTCTTAACGAGGTTTCAATGGATTTCAGGCTGCCGACATCGCGACTTTGCTAAGGTTTTGGCGGATTTTATCGCGACGTTAGTTAGATTTCGATGGATTCCCGTTCACGACTTCGCAGATTTTGCTTGGGTTTCATCGCGACTTATTTCGATCGGTCTGTGCCTTGAGCGCGGCTCCTTACTGTGTCACGTTCTAATTGTGTCATGTAGTCAACCTATTTATGAGAGCCGATCCGCGCACGGCTATGTAAGTGTATTTAATATCTGTTTCTTCTTTGATTAAACGCGTTGGTCTGATCGAGTGCATAAAGTTTCATCTCCGTTGTCGATTCTATGTCTTCCTCTTTCGTATCAACCACACGTGACGGTTCAAACAAGGTCACAATCTAGTGATCAAATCTTAGACCATGTGTAACGACCAGAGGAGTTATTGTGGCATTACACAATTAACGGGGATCAGGCAAGGGCTACATACTGTACCGGGCTGCATATTTTTNCACATCCCAAAAAGTAGCTCTACAGGGCAGATAGTCGCATCGGTTCAGTACAGAAGCATGGGCGAGATTCCAGGCGCTGAAGCTAGACACAGTCATTTTTTTCCAACTTTCAAGCGCACAATCCCCAAAAAGGCACAGCCAGCCTCACAGTGGGCGGCCATTAGGGCGGCGGAAGCACATTGGCGGGGAGTCTGGGGGGCCTCCCCGCAACATATTCAAAATTTCAAGGTCCCTGGCAAAAAATGAGCAACCATTTGGAGCACACGCATTAGTCAAGCAGCATCCGACTAAAAGCCATATGAAATTTTATTTCTGCCTTCATTTTGCACTGACAAGAACTTTGCTTACAGCAATTAATGCAGAATGATTCAAGCACTTCCCCTTCTTTTTCAGATATCAAAGCTAGTTTTGTTACAATGTAAATTTTGATTCGCTCAAGTCGCTGTCAAGTGAATCAGAAGCAAAAGAGAACAAATAAAAGAATAGCCAAATTTCAATTCAGAATTGTTTTCTGTATTTTTTAGCGCAAAATTCGAAGGCACTGTTGAAATCTAGACCGTATTTCCTAATACGGGCAAATACGGTTGAATCCGCCCCTGCAGGAATACAAAACGCACGAGCGCTCGCAGATTTTACATAGCGTCTGTATAACATTCATGCATATTATGAGGGGGGGAAGCGGGTATTTTCGGGACCGCGGATTGGCCATTTTAATTACCTGCGGAACTGGGAAATGTGCAGATAATATTTTTCGTGATTCGGGAATAGAAGTCCATCGGGACGTGGGAAACACCTCTAAAATTGTCTGGGATCTGCGAAGAATTTCGTCAATTCGCGCGATGTTCAAGTTTCTTGCGCTATATTTATTTTAATTGTTTTTAATTTTTATTTTTTACTAATTATGCCCAGATAAAATAAGACTATGAAATATTAGTATTTATGTAGTGTTTTGAAAACCTAAAACTACTGAATTGTCCTGAAACATGTCTAACATAATTAAATTCTGGGAACTGGGGAATTGGATTTTATTTTACTGGAACTGCGCGATATGGGCTGTTTTTTATTGCTGGAAAGTGGCGAATGCTACCGCCGCCCCCGTTCCCACCCGTCTATGTATGTAGTAACGGCAGCGCCGCAGCAGCGGAACGCGCCAGATCAGATATTTCAGCTATGTACAAATGACCTATGACCGTCCATAACGGTCACAGGGCCCAGCTGCGTAACTACGAAGCTGGCTTATTATAGTTGGAGAAACATGAATTAACACGTACGAGAGTTAGGCTATATGCACCGCCAGTCTATATTCGACTACCACCAAACCATCTATCTATCTATTTTGAATTCTATTTATAGATTGTGTACAGATTGTTCAAGTTTCGCTTTCGCAAATCACATTTTCGGCGGTACATTTTCTTCCAACAGTGAGCATGGCAGGATACGAATCATTGTCGACACGTGTGTCGTTTCATGCGCAGCCAGTTCACCCCTCCTCGGAGTTTTTTAGCCGAAATAGTCTTACTTTAATCACGGTTCTGGTTACTTGCTAGGCAACTGATCTCTATAAGTGCACTGGCTAGTTACTGCTAGGCACTACGTTTCGATGTGGCGCCATCGGGTGTCGCCAAGAGAGACCTAAAACGCTACATAATAAACTGGCTCCGTGAATTAGAGTGGATGCGGAGTGATGCGGATAGCGGAACTCGATCACAGCTTGCTAATAGAAGTGAAGCATCGTCGGTTAGCACACATAGTGGTGTTTCTGCAGTCGGTGTTGTATGTGTTGTGCGCATCATAGGAGTTTAGGAGGCGTATGGAACGCCAAGCCCAGTGAATTTCAAGCTGAAAGCGACAATAGTTTACTCAACCAAATATTGTGCATAGGAAGAATCTTCTAGACAAATAAGTGTCATAGGAGAGCGTATATGCGTATGTCGCATTTGTCATAGATGCAAGCAGAACATGTTGGAATCTTGGACGCATGTTCATCTTCGGCTAACCACAATACCTGGCGTATTTACTATTGTTTACCAAGATTCAACTGTAACGCACATTGCTCTTCGAATACACACCTGAATTCATCTTATAGAGCATCTGATGAGGTAAATTAAGGCACTATATATAACAACCGTCATTACTTATTACGTCGGGAGGTACAAGTGTAAATGCGAAATTTCTGTAGTGTGATGAGTGAGCAAAAAGTAGTATTAGGTGATATTTAGAGATTTCCCATATTGTCAGGTTTCATGAGTTATAAACTTCGATAAAATATTCTATCTATGTATAGGATTACGATAAGGACACGGATGATATAGTCATCTTTGGATTGTTGTAACGTCAGAAATAAGAGAGTAGAATTTCGGGTAAACAAATTTATGTCGTTGAATACTTGTGAAGATATGCTGGTGAGGCGTAAGCATCAATCAAAATGAATGTTACTAGCCTTTCTATATGGTAGCTGCTGGAAACTAGCTTCTTAATCAGTAAGTCCATATTTGGCTGGCTGTATAGTAGGAACACTGTTCACGGGCTTTGGATATCACTTATGATCTCGGATTCAATAATTCTCGGATGATTCTTGGATTCAATGATTCTAATTTGAGATTGATGTGATAAAATTGAGCATGTGTATGCGGGCAAGATTTCCACTAACAGCTTACTTTTAAAATTACGGGTAATACGTACCGGCGGTTGCTATATAGTGCCCACCATCTGATAAAGTTAAATACGGTTTGGCATACTCGGATACCCTCCGACATCGAAGCAAAAATCGTGTTAGGGGGCGTGCGTGCCTGCGCACGTTTGCGTGCAAGTAGGGCCTACGCTATGCACGTATGCGCGTGTCCCTGGCTTTAAGGTGAAAGTCTTTAAATCTACTTAATTTACGCGGAATACCTCACTGGGGGCTAAGATACAGTTTTCATAGTGCAATTCTTAACTACATTTATGGAAAGTACACATATCATTTTCCCCCTCCTTGAGAAGAAGCCAATCGTCACAACAGTAAGCTGGTCCATCTTCCCCACCAATGCACGCAGCAACAACCTTCTTTATTGGTTGACAATAGACATGTTCGTCAGGAATTGGACTGCAAACGAAAAAAAGGTATACAGGTTCAAATACAGATATATATGTTACTCAATAAAGTTATTACATATCAATAAATCTAGTTTCTCCCATATTATATATAACACAAAATGAAAGCATATAACTTAAAAGCATAACTTTTAGGAATATAAGTATCTCTTACAAACCTAGTACAAAAATACAGTTTTAGCAAAAATGTAACCACTCACTCACTCACTCACTCACTCACTCACTCACTCACTCACTTCACTCACGTCACTCACTTACTCACTCACTCACTCATTCACTCACTCACTCACCCACTCACTCACTCACTCACTCACATCAATCAATCAATCAATCAACCAGTCAATCGAATAATTAATCAATCAATCAATCAATCAACCAGTTAACCAGTCAATCAATTAAATAATCAATCAATCAATCAATCATTCGAGTGAGCAATTATGAAGCAAAGATACGACAACTTGATGGCTGTGTGAATGAATGGATGGATGGATGGATTGATAGATAGACGGAATAACGAAAAGATGAACGGACTGGTATATAGATTTCTATAAATGTACGTACTCTGTACAATGTCCCTCTGCTCTGACGCATGATCGTTTTTGCATGGTACATCCGCAGTTGTTAGGAGTGTTAGCGACGTCACAGGAACTATATGGTCCCCACTCCACACAGTAACAGTCCGGGCATTGTGCTAGAGACGTAAAAAAGTCAACCATGTAGGAGTCCATGATGCCATGTTTCCATATATCGAAACGTCTAGGGGGCCATTCAACTAGTACACTGACGATTCAGCTAACATGTAGTTTTAACAAAGCCATCGTGGTTTGGTTTATTATACGATCAGCGCAACACTACCTATTTGTGTTGAATGCTTTTTATCGCCGTTCAGCGCAAATAGATGTAACCCTATTTTACACCCAAATTAATTTGCCACTATTGCACCTTTGCTTATTGCTATCCGAAAACAACTACATGGTATTAGCTGTGTTTATTATTGTCAACAAATGTAATGGTAGTTAAGCTAGGTTACTAAACGTAACGAAAACACGCTGAATGTCACTACAGACTCGCACGTACCTTCGTAAGTGAATTCAAACGCAAAATCAGCGTTGTGCGTAGATCGAGCTATCAGTATTATCTCATTCTGCGTTGATTTTAATAGCGGATATCCGTAGGTGTTTGCAACACAAAACCTAAGGATAAAAGCTAGCGATTATGTCAAACACACACACGCACATACGCACATACGCACATACGCACATACGCACACACGCACATACGCACATATCTGAATATAGCTGCAGCACATCCCGTGTATCTACGAAAACATACAAATTATTACCCGTGAAATATCCCACATTTATCTTTTACTAAGGCTACAAGACTACGTGTAGCTGCACATTTTAAATCACCTGGGCTGCAGTGAAACCCCAATATTATATGATTATAATATTAACAGTTTTCAAAATATAAATCACTAACAGGATACCCCAGTTATGCCCGGGAAATAAAGCACTTAATTGTTGACCACTTGGTTGAACGAAAAATACCCCCCAAATCCATCTATCTATCTATCTATCTATCCATCCATCCATCCATCCGACCATCTATCTATCTATCTATCTATGTATCTATGTATTTAGCTATCTATCCATCTATCTATCTAGCTATCTATCCATCCATCCATCCATCCATCCATCCATTCATCCATCTATCCGTCCATCCATTATCCATCCATCCATCCATCCATCCATCCCATGCATCCATCCATCCATCCATCCGTCCATCCATCCATCCATCCATCCATCCATCCATCCATCCATCGTACTATCCTTCCTCCATCTATCTATCTATCTATCTATCTATCTAATCTATCTATCTATCTATCTATCTATCTTCTATCTATCTATCTATCTATCTATCTATCTATCTATACTATCATCTATCTATCTATGTATCTATCTATCTATCTATCTATCTACCTATCTATCTATCTATCTATCTTTAATAACAATAAAGCAAGTCAGTGCAAGCTGAATCTTGTTTGGACATGCAATGTTGCTCCAGGGACCCGTTTATTTTTCCCGTGTTCTCCTGTTTTTTTTTGCTTAGATGACATTGGAGGTCAAATCCAATGTGCCCATAACATTCAGCATGCAAATTTACCACTATTGAACCTCCTTGGACATTTCTAGAGTTCTCCATATTGATTTGCATCGAGAACAGACAAACAAACAAACATACATTCACAAATATGTATTAGATTATTACATTCACCGGATTCACTTTTGCGGATTTGAATTCGATCGGAGTAATATGATGCAATCCGAGTAATCGAGTTATCGAGTAATCGAGTAATCGAGTTGATAATCCGAGTAATCGATGCAAGCTTACTCGCGATTGTGACTAGTGACGCTCATAGTTCTTATCTCTCAGATAGACGTAGTATATAGTTCAATGTCAGTCCTGACGTAAGCTTAATTACCATGGCCCCGCTTTTGCTAAATCCAGGTATTTGACTTCAAGCCAATCAGGACAACCCAATCTCGTTTCACACGTCAAACCGTCCAAACTATAGCAGATAGACGATATCGAAGTAAGCTGAAAACTGATGGTCGCTGATGCCGGTGCCTAGGGGTACAAAACATCGCACAAGCCGAAATTACATGTTACATATTATCAATATATCGAATTAACACACTATACGTAACGAGCGATAAAGCGTTAAATAATTGAATTGTTGATGGAATAGTAAAATTGCATGTGAATTATATTTCTCTTGGAAGTAATCATGCTTATGTATGATCATGATGATAATCATGTGAAAGTATCATCTACGAATTTACCCGCAGGAGCCAATATGCTTCTTGCTTGTTTGTATCAGCCGATAATTGTGCACCAAAAAAATGCACACTGTCCCCGCAGCTAATGTCCAAAATTTCGCCTTCTGTCGCTAGAAAAAGATGCATACATAACCACCATATATTACCGCTGTGGTTTTGCAAGGGTGAAAGCTCGAAGTAATGAGCGCGATATCAATCCATTAGCGGACATTAGAATTTTCGCACCGGCTGATGAGTGGGAAGTAACAATCCGTACGATTTCTTAATTACTCCATGTCTGTACTATGCCTTACTGCCTTCTGATGGTGCAACGGTTTCACAGCGATCGCCTGCCAGACCAGCAGGACAGATGCAGACGTCACAGTTGTTGGGATTCCAGTAGCCCCCGTGCTGGCATTCTGGCGTGAGCAGCCCTCCTTTTGCCTGACATGGCGAGGCTACAGAACCGAGAATTATACCGTAATATTTATAAGCTATGAGAAGAAAACGGGACCAGACGTTATAAACCTATCACATAATAACAATAATTGTGGTTTCAACAATATATGCGCAAAAGCCATAGCGTGTGTATAAGAATGTGGACGAAGAGCGTATGTGATATACGAACCATCTCCGTTACAGTATGCAAGGTTAGCTGTTAGCGCATCATAGAATGACAGTTTGCTTTGATCTCCTATTCTATTCTCATATACCGGAATCACTGTCTCGATTGTTAGTAAATCCAAGTCTGAACTATTAAAAAATGCCTGTGGAAAGGAGAAGATTTATTGGTCACAATATTGCGTAGTGACTATTATTCATCACTATGCTACGAAGAGCGAGAGAAACCGTAGTGAACTAAAATGGAAAGAGATAAATGGACGGTTATAAGCAGAACAAAAATGTAATAAAAATCACTAATCAAAAAAAAACTTAGAGAAAAACGAAAAATGTTGTTATAGCGCATATCGTACCCGTTTTCGGTAGTGCATGTTGGAACCGAGGTCGTACGGTATATCGTCGAAGAAATCAAAATTTGATTGGTTCTTCTTGTGGAAGTTCGCTTCTCTTCCGGCTATGACGTTTTCATAATGAACCGTAATGTGTTCATCTCGATCAGTACGGACGTGCTCATGATGGAAACCGATGGCGTGTGCAAGTTCGTGGATCGCCGCGCCGTGCTGTAACGAGTATAAGTAAGGTTTTATTTAATGTAAACTGGCAGTGTGAATTCGGTTGCAACTTTGATTTGAATATCTAGTTTTATTTGCTATATTCGAAACAAAATGAAAATCACACACGCCCAATTATATATATACTGAATTTGCAGACTGCGCAATTTAAGAGAGTTAATAGTTCAAGATGTTTACACAGCATAGTGGGGTTCGCATGTATGTGCCAGCAACGACCGCGAAAACAAATGCAGGAACATGTTGATTCTTATATAGTCTGGTTGTAGAGAATTTTGATCGAGAAAAATTGGTATAAAGATTATTTTTACACCAGATAACCAAGATGTGTCATAGAACAACATATTCAAAATCAGCAAAAATCACCCTAGGGGAATTTTTTTTTGACTCTGAATATATCGCACATTTTTGCCAGCTTTTGTTTTGAAACGGTAAAAAAGCAAGTATTTTATGTGACGTTTTTGCGGTTTATTGACCTTGACTAAAGAAAATGCAAAGTCTCAGTTGCTGAAAATTTTTACTTTACTGTGAACTAAAATAGTTATTACCAAATTAATTACCTCGGTTATAAGCCTGACCCTTCCCCCCTAATGGGAGATTCCACTCCAAAATGTTAACGAGGGCCAGAACGTGACTCTGCACGGTTATCAAGCATTTTGTCATTCTGTTGTGTAAGTATCGTAAGGGAAAAAAACACGCAAGTTTTCCACTAATTAACTATAGAAACAATTTCGCCAGTAGTGTCAACACTGTTTTCATCGTCAAGGATAATCTCCTCGGTATTTTGACAACTTTCTCCTTTGCAGACTCCGCAGGCTGTCTCACATTTCTGTCCATGTTTACGACAAGAGCAACTGTAATTACCACATGGATTTCTGGCTGAAAGTTTGCATTTACAGCTTACATATTTCAGTAAGCTCTCTGGTGCTGCAGCCAAGTCTGTCAGGACTGGTGTTAGTATGGTATCAGTAAGTTTCCAACCCCATTGCATCGGAATCAGGTCGTTGTCTGTGAGATTAAACCAAAGTATGACTTCCGAGTGAAATCACAAACTGAGAAAATATGGTGCGCTTTCTCTAAGTGGAAGCTTCTGTAGGTAAATTGACGTTTTTCTTGTCGACACCATCTCCATGTATTTAGCGTACCGTAGACTGTTGAAAGAATCCTCTGGTCTGCCTTCATATATGACAACATATAACCGGATACCAGCTTTGCCAATCTGTTCTACTGTAGCCTTAGGATCGGTCATCAAGAAGAACATCTGCTGCAATTCTTCTGATTGTTATATCTTCTCAAAAAGACTGGTTTTACCATGCCTAAAGGTTGCAGAGGTGGTGTCGCAACCACTCCACACATGGATAAACAGAAGATGGGATGTTAATACTTTGCCAGCTTTGTTAACAAGGTCTTAAACTTCAAACCTTTCTTTGACCACGTTGCCTTTGAATGGAAGTATATACCAGTCATATTCTGGTTCCATTGGTACATCAAGAAGACACGTAGATCCGTGTCATCTGCTACTACACTTACTTCTCTTCATTGTCTTGCAAATTGAAGGGCACATTCCACTATCAATGTGTCAGCATCTCCAGTGCTGTTGTGCACGATCTGACCATCAGCTTCCAAGTATTGACCCTGCAACGTAATGAACTGACTTTTGTTGTTCTCATTCGCAAGAAAGGTCTGCTGGTCATTGTGAGCCTGTGTAGATTCACTAAGCTGAATATCTGTACACGTTTTGCCAATTCTTCGCTGGTGCTCGTGATCTTTAATTGATGGACCCTGTTAGTACCCATCAAATACGATGCAACAATTCCCATACCTTGCACGCACGTAGTTGACATATTGCATCGTTATGTCTTTGTATCTCATCTTTTTTGTGCCATTTCACTCTATGAAGAAGGGCCCCACCATCAAGAACATGCATAGCTTGCACCGTTTCTGTAGACGGTTGTACAACATTCTCGAGGGCTTGTGCTAGTTGTGTCTTTACAGGTTCACGCATAAAATTGTCTTTAAATAGTAACGTTGGCATTGCTGTAAGCTTATAGCCAAAGTATGCATGGAGCCATGTCTGTCTCCTCTCTGTGTACAATAGCTATCAGGTGATATAACAGATGGTTTGAGTGGAAATTAATTTTTTGTTTATCACTTGGATTCCTGAATACAGATGATCTAAAGACCGAACTTGATCACGTCTTTTAATACATGCTTCTACCACATTCATATTGTCGAGCTCCTGGATCTGTGCCCCAACCTCACCTGTCTTGTCGCAGTTTACACCATCACCATCAGCTGTTATTAAACCAGAAGATAAGGACCGAATTCTTTGCTCATTCAAATCAAATGGCTCATGTTGGTTGAACCGTTCTTGAATGTTGTGCAGGTCAGCGAAATCCCGGTTGCTCCTAGAAGTCCCGAGTTCCATGTGTTGTTCACTGGTGGTGTGCTTTACATTTGTCATAGATGTGATAGCATCATGGACCGCGGCACACTTGTGCATGCTGTAGATCCACTGAAAGCAAACAGTCTCCGTCACACCCCATCCTCTAGTCAGTCCTCATCTGCTTTTGATGGATCTCATCATGACCTGTTCAATTGTAATGTCTGTCCATATTCCTGCCCAGAAGGGATTGCTTCTGCGGACTGTATGGATTCCTTGTTTTGTGAAACAATGGTTTAGCCAGGGGTGGTGTGTTTGTCATTCCAGCATCAGCTGCAAATACAGTCGTGCACTCTTTGCATAATTGACGCGGCCAGTTGCAGCAAATAAATTCAACATTTGTGTAACTGCTATTAGATGCAGGTTCCAATCTCCGGCTCTTTCAGCGCGAATGAAAATCTTCAAAGTTTCACCATTTTCAATATATTGCAACCACTATTCTCAATACTGTAATAAGCAATCATGTATAGTTTCTTTAGTTCCTTTGATTCAGCAATACTGGCAACGGGTATAGATTTGTCTTTGATTCTCTCATACAAGCCGTAAATCTGTTCTAATTAAATACTATTTAGTTTGTTCCCATCGATACCAGTCACCGTTGCTGCAGCAGGTATTTCCATCTCGACATCGGTCAAGGGGTCTTGGAGATCCTCCATAACTTCACTTTGGCCCTCTGGATGAGTACCTGTTTCCACTTTTCTAACAGAAGGTGTTGCAATTGCAGTGTATATACCATTATTACTTAGAGGCTCCATATACTTGACGAGCCTTGCTATTGACGAGGCTCCATATACAGAGACCTCCATATACTTGACGAGCCTTGCTCATGCTCATATCCCATTACAAAACATGCGAAAATGTGCAAAATACTCACTCATAAAAAATTTCCCAAAAAGAATTTTTTCGGATTTTGGATATGTCGTTCTACCTAGAATTCTGCTTCGTTTGACATAGAAACCAGCGTTACAACATTTTTTTCCGGGTAGCATCGATATTTCATCGTCAACGACCGGACTATATTAGGTATAACATAGTATTGTCCCCATAACGAGCAGTTTTCTTTTTTTCTTTATATGTGCTGTGCTTTTGGATGTTAACACAATCAGCGAATGTACATCTGTTTCGGAATTTTAGGAATGCTTACTTGTAAACTGGTAGGTATGTCCCATGCGCACAGCTATAACACAACTTGATATACCCGAATAAAGTTTGCATGCTGCAATTAACGTGCCGTTTACAAAACATGCCAATTCATGGACTACATTTACATTTGCGCAACTCTATTATTTAGGTCTGTAAGTATAAGTAAGTATGTAGGTCGGATATTTTGCAAGCCTCGGCGTACCGAACCACATCCCAGGCCGAGAGAGAGGAGCTGTCCGCCCTGCCGCATTCCCAGTGAGGACCAACACCTATAGAAATCATCAAATAACCAAGCACAGCGTACATAACGCCATCAAACAAGCTCTACCAGCTATACAATGGGTTACTTACAATACTTAGTCAGAATATCGATAAATTTATGGTGTTGAATGGACGCATATTATTCGTTGTACATATTGATGCCCCATAGGACAGTTAAAATCATGCAACTGTACATGTGGAATTCGAGTAACTGTCCACTTCATTTATATTATTACATATATACGGCTTCTCCATATATACAATGCACATATTCTCTATATATAATACAATGCACGTAAAACAATTAGTACTTATAGTACTTGCGCTTCTATTTCCGCGTTGAATCCTTGTCAACTGGTCGCGTTCATCACGCTCTCAGTAATGAATAACAGTATCTTACCCATTTCCGTAAATTATTTGCAAGTAGTTCCCAACCGGTGTCGATGTTTGTTGGAAGTGAAGACATGTCAGCGATTCCCACTCGGTAATTGCACTTCGAATGGCAGCCACGTGGGATTCAGCTGCCCACAACGTAAATAAAATTATGTCTACTCGCAAAATGGCCGCCTCCGGCGGCCATATTCGCTCGTTACGCTGATGAGACTACGATGATTTCTCTAAATCCCGACCCGATTCATAGTAATCTTTTAGTAAAATATTGACTTGATACGAAGACAATAATACAAGGATCCTGTTACTAATATAACATTTTCTGTCCCGGTATATTCATTTCTATATAAAACACTTTGTACACACCTTCTAATCCATTGTTTTTCTCTTCAAATTAAGGCTAATATAATACAGTCCGACCTCCTTTATCCGGCCACGTCGCGACCGGCACCCATCCGGATATGGGATTTGGCCGGATATG